TGTCTGTCTGAGGCAGGGGATGTATAAGATACCCTTTATATTATTTTGTTAGACTTATATTTAACACGTGTGCCATCAGATTTTAATAAATAAGTATTTTAATATTACTATTCAAGATGATTATGTTTTCGACTTACTCACATAAAACATGCGACGCGGCTACTGTCGCTCTGTTACTGACTACTCAAGCCTGCTACGGTGCAGGCCCAACGCGCCCTCTGCCACGATTAATTCATAATCTCATAAATATGAGCCTCTAGTATGGCTTGAAACTAGTCGAGTTCCTCGTCAAACAGTTACATGAGTAAGCCGAAAACATACAAGATATTAAGGAAATGCACTTTAGGTGTAATTTTGAACATTTTAAAGGACCGAATATAATATTTTTACTCATTCTGAATAGTCAAAGTAGCATTAACCCGTTGAAATAGAATTAATTAAACAAGTACTCACCTTGTAGAAATGGGATCAGTTTGCACATGAGTGCTCCAAACAAGAAGCGTCTGTATATCTGACCGACTAGTGTAAAAGGTAGACAGAATACACCCAGCAAGAAGTCTGATATAGCCTGAAACAAATAAATAAATGCTATTAGTCATTAAATATATACATTTTTAAATCAATACAAATTATAATCAAAGATTATTTATTTGCCCGAACAAGGTATACAGTTGTCACATATTATAATTATAGCCCCTCTTATACTGCCCACAATTCGGGCGTGCAAAACTTTAACATGGAAGTTATAATAATTTAAACTCTAAAACAAGGTATTTCATATCAAGTGAAAAAAATGTCATTAAAGGTACATGTCAAAATAGAATTGCTTTAAACAAAAAGAGGTACATTATTTTTCAAATATTAAAATTAAAATAACAATAATATTCATGTCACTACGCAAAATAACAATAATCACAAAAACAGTCCATTAGACCCTCACATTATGTTATACTTGATGATTGACGATGGAGCACACCTATGTGTTATACCGAGAAGCTCGAGATGGTCACCTACCGGAATGGACTCATTTTCGGAAAGTAGGAACCGACTCCGTTTTGCGGAGAATAGAGACGCCTGGGTTTTATTGGCATTAAAAATAACTTGAGATGTCTATTGGCTTCTCAGGGGCGTGAAATAAAGTTTGACACACGAATGACTGTAAAACGTAATAAACTTAAACAAACTATAAACAAAGTTGCACAATAATACAATGGAAACTCAAATAGTTCGCGGTACAAATACGGAGCGCGTGCGTCACGGCTCCGGCACGAGGTATGTTGTGTGACGCTTCTACGCAAGCGTCGATCGGTCAGTGGCGAGGAAGCAAGGGAAGAGGAATAGTACCTAAGGTGGCCGTGTTGCCACTAGAGTTGCGCGCGTGCGTCCGACACATACCAAAATGGAATGCCGCGTTACATCCCCCCCCCCTCTGACTTAGACATAGCGCCCTCGCGTTGTGGTCAGTCTAGAAATCGCTTGGGTCTTCCGCGCCTACGCTTTTCGATAACAGGCGGAACCACCACATCACCTACGAAAGAAGTCGACTGTGAGACACGGTACTCCTGCAAAATACTCCAGCGCAGGGTCAGGCTCACTTAGGTGACAAATGATGAAGTTCCTGGCTCGCGTCCGACTTTACACGAAGCCAAGTGTAATCGGTCGAGTGGTTTTCCTTCGCGGAGCGGTTGGTTATATCCAATACAGAAGCAGTGACTGTTCCCCTTTTGTCAATCATCAGGGCAGTCGGCTTTATGCTATCAGTGGTACGTAAAGCGGGGCTAGCGGCAAACGGATGCCAACTCGATTCGTCGTTAAAACGCCAGCTGCACTGTGGTAAATCCAACAAGATATTCGCTTTAATAATAAATTTCCTACCTAACAGCGTCCGCGGTTGTGCATTCGGTAGCACCATAAACGTAGTGGGTTTTCCTAATGTGACGTCGACGAAACGTACCGCGTTTGAGTGTGACACTCAAACGCGGTACGTTTCTGCTGACACCCGTCAGCAAGACCTTTTTTTTTTTTTAAGGGGGGATAATCATCGAATGACTGCTCCCGCCTGGGTGAGGCTGGAGGGAGTGTCAGACTCTTACTGACTAAAAACCACCCCGTTCCTTCTCCTGCACGTCGAGCCGGAGCCCCGGTTACCCGTTAGGTTCTCCGCGGCTCCGAATCGGCATCGGCCCTATTGGGCCCCATCTGTGGTGGTCTGATGGCTCTTTGAGGCGCGCGCGGAACGCGACGCGCCGTACGCTCGGGTCTGTTTCTGGTCGGACGGGGAGCCACCCATGCTCGCCGTCCGCAGGCCCGCGCTTACGGTGGCCGGAGATCGTGTCAGCAAGACCTACGGTACGTACGACCGTCCTAAATATCACGCCAGCATTCACGAGCAAAGCGTGCGTATAGGGCTCGCGATAGAATGTGTGGCTCCCGTGTCCAGTATGACCACACCCTTACGGTCAACGACCTCAAATACCTATCAGCTGTTGCGAAATGCGAATCATTGTCACTCACGCCTGCAATGTAAGTACTGTAAAAATCTACTTTACCTGAGTCAGGCGTAATTTTACTTTCCGCATTTTGAGCGCACTACTCCCAGCTGGCCACATCCGTAGCAATGTAACTGAGAGCTATTATTATTACTAGAAGTATCATCCTTCCTATTACGACAGTTATCAACCGAATGTCCGAAATGTTTAGGTACAATAACTACACTTCGGTCGCGTACATTTTCGTACGTCACCATTATTACTTACGTTAAGCGCGGAAGTCTGACCTAACACGGCCGCATCACGTACTTACTAAAGATCTCGCGCTACATGAATATTTTGAACTAACGGGTTCGGCGACGGTATTCGAAAGGGTAGGACTCGGGTTTGTGTCAGAACGGTCACGCGTGGCGCACGAGTCAACAGAACTCGTATTATTAGGTACTAGTGACCCGCCCCGGCTTCGCACGGGTGCAATATGCATGTATTATACATACAAACCTTCCTTAAGAATCACTCTATCTATTAAAAAAAACCGCATCAAAATCCGTTGCGTAGTTTTAAAGATCTAAGCATACGGACATACAGCGAAAGCGACTTTGTTTTATACTATGTATTGATTAAGAGTGGGGAACTTACTTCCGCCAGTGACTCCTCGGCTAACCTGACTTTGGTGATGAGTTGCTCCAGCCCGTCGAAGGAATCGCGACACATGCGTTTTCTAATCCTACGATATAACAACCCGTATACAATGTCCAACTTCATTACCTCCGGTACTACGTACGGTAATAGCGATAACAAAGCGCGCACTTTACAAATAAATACGTCGGCCAGTTCAATATTTTGTTCGGTAACGAATGTCTCGTGAGGAATTTATAACCGGGTCGCGGTACTCCAAACATTCCTCGAAGTCGTTGTAGGGCGTCGGTCCACGACGTGACCGACGACTTCACTCCGTGCCACCAGACGGCGGCCTCGCCCACCAGCAGCATCGGCAGGCCGGGTAGCGCGTGCTCGTCGATAACGTTGGTGCAGTCGCGGTAGACTTCGGAAGCCTCGATAAATGCTTCGAGCTCATCCGCGTTCCTCGATTATCGTTTCCTCATTCCTGCGCGAGGGGCGCATGCGTGTGTGCGTCGGCGGCTTAGGCGCGCGGCGATGACGTAATCAACGAGTTTTTGTTTCCTGCCAAAATACTCTCTATCAGAACTCTGTTTCTATTTGCTTCCACTTGACTCCTAGTGATGTTGGAGACAAGGGCATTTAACATATCCTCCGACATTGTAATATTCGAGGACGAAATCACGGTTCTGTTCGACTCGACATCTGTGTCGGTATCCGATCCCTATCTCTTCGGCGGCATGATAATAGGCTATTTCAACTGTTACTTACTCGCTCGAGGAGCACGGGTGATGATTTTGAGGATGGTAGCTTTAACGAGTCGGTAGGTATACCTACAGACGCAACCGGGCGGCGCGGCGGCACGCGGAAAATGGACTCGCCCAAGTGTTTTCACTTTCGTATTTGCACTGGTTTTACAATATTTTTCGTGTGATTGCACTATCGGAGAGAGTTTACAATATGTGTTTGCACTATAGTAACACTAGAACTTGTTGTAACTTTAAGTTTTTTGCACAATTCGTTCGTGGCCGCAAATTGGGCGTCACTTTAATAACTTGAGGTGTCTATTCAGTCTATTGGGTTCTCAGGGGCGTGAAATAAAGTTCGACACACGAATGACTGTAAAACTGTAAATTGGAATAAACTTAAACAAAATTGCACAATAATACAATGGAATAAAACTAAAATATTTCGCGATACATACAAATACGGAGCGCGTGCAACACGGGTCCGGCGCGGGACTCGTTGTTGTGTGTGTGAACTGTGACGCTCCAACTAGTGTTGAGTATGACATACAAGAGGCATGACATTTGTCCCGTACAAGACTCACAAATGTAAGAGCGGCTCAAATTTTTTACATGTACTACTTCAAATTTTATGTCGCGTTCGTCGCGTATGAGTTTGCGC